AAAAAATTTTAAAATACCGTTTTGGACGTAAAATTTTCCGCTCTTTCGATTGCCGTTGTCAAAAATAGGGGTTCCCATTTAAAAAAACAAAGTTGACCTTGAAATAACCTTGAAGGTCAATCTTAAGGTCAAATCCAAGGTCACCATCGGATTCCGCGTTGAAAGTTACTAAAGGAATGACCTTGACCTTTTTCAGAACTGAAGTACTTCAGAAAATATTCAGGCGTCCCGGGACTTAATTGACACCCTGTATATAATCATATATGGTTAACGTTTTTTGCTGCGATAATGATTGTTAATATAAAATTATTAAATTGTATAGATAATAAGTAGTCTTTAGATAGCAGCTAGCTCGTCACTCTTGTGAGTGATAGAGCAGACAATATTTATAAAAAATAGAAGTGGTATTACGAACAGAAATGAACTGCGGTTATAATGCATGGTGCAATAATTTCTAGGAACCCAGAGAGCAATTTTACGGTCGAAAACGCTGGGAGGGCTCCTTAAAATTTTACCCGTAAAGTTGGCTACATTGGTCAACGATGTTATGGCAACCATGTGCAGTCACCGAACATTGATTCTGTCCGCCTATTTCAAAATTTCAAGTGTCAGTTTGCAGATCTGAATTTTAATTCAACTTCTGTTGCGTGATAAATTTGAAAACATAAGTAGTAGCATAGTGCAACAATTATATTGAATGAATGTTATAATAATATAACTACTTAAAAATTAAATATATGTGTATATTAGAGATGTTGAATATCGAGGGAAAATAAATTAAGGTTCCATTGAAAATCACCAACCTCACCGATTGACTGTTTTCAGATAAGTAGTATTTATATTATCCCATTAAATATTATATAAAGAATATGACTGTGGTTCTTTTCAGGATATGACACAGGATAAATTAAGAAGAGAAGACGAGAACATTATTAGGACTTTCTCTTAAAAATGATATTTGCAGGATTACATGAATTTGCAAAAATAATCTTTTTGCCGCCTTTCCTTAATTTATCCCGTGAATATCTTGATAATAACCACAAAGTATCATATTCTTTATATAACATTTATTAGATTAAATAAATACTACTTATCTGAAAACAGTCCAGCAGTGAGGTTGATTTTTAATGGAACCTTAATTATTTTCCTTCCATATTCAACATCTCTAATATACACATATATTTACTTTTTAAGTAGTTATACTATTATATTATTCATTTGACGTAATTGTTGCACTATGCCACTACTTGAAACTGAATTATGTTTTCAAATTCACCGCGCAGAAGAAATTAAATTAAAATCCAGACCAGTAAACTAATACTTAAAATTTTGAAACGGATGGACAGAATCAATGTCCGGCGACTGTACATGATTGTCATAGCAACATTAACCAATGTAGCCAACTTTGAGACTTGTGAATCTGACACCCAAAAAAATTTTTTAATCATATTTTTGAGTTTTCATGAGCTAAAACGTTTTCTCCCTTTTTCCGGATTATGTCTCCGCTTGAAATTTTATTTCCGGATTTTCCGTTTTTAAGAAAATTGCGAAAAAAAATCGGGTGTTCGTACAGGGCGCAAAATGCATTAAACATTTTTCTCCTGTTTAAAAAGAAATAATATCGATAGCGGATGATAGCTCCTTATTCCCGAATTACGGAACAATGTTCCTTTTGTCGATTTTCTATCCAAAATTGAGGAAAATGTACAAATTAGTAATATATGCGGCAGTTAGTCGATAAAACAGGTCAAACGTTTGCTAATCACCAGATATCCCTATATGAGTTCTACATTGCGTAATTATAATAATAAGTAATTCAAATTCTACTCAATTAACCATTCACATTTTATGTACATATACATAAATAATTTTTTCTAAGGTTTTCTATAAGTTTGTCAGCATGCCAATTTTATAATTAATATTTTAACTATATAAAATAACATAATTCTGAACAAAGTAATAAAAAAATTGAATTGACTAGTTAAAATTGAAAAAAACAATCATTGATCAAGAACTTATAGCTTAGTTTTATATTTGTTGAATTATTTAACAACGAACTTAATTTTACTTCCATTCTTCTTAACAATATAAAGTAATAATCCATTGTAGCATATTATAAAAATACTTCAATATATTGAAGTACTTATTGAAGTATAGAAAATACTTCAATATATTACTTTATATTGTTAAGAAGAATGGAAGTAAAATTAAGTTCGTTATTAAATAATTCAACAAATATAAAACTAAGCTATAAGTTCTTGATCAATGATTATTTTTTTCAATTTTAACTAGTCAATTCAATTTTTTTATTACTTTGTTCAGAATTATATTTTATATAGTTAAAATATTAATTATAAAATTGGCATGTTGACAAACTTATAGATAACCTTAGAAAAAATTATTTATGTATATGTACATAAAATGTGAATGGTTAATTGAGTAGAATTTGAATTACTTATTATTATAATTACGCAATGTAGAACTCATATAGGGATATCTGGTGATTAGCAAACGTTTGACCTGTTTTATCGACTAACTGCCGCATATATTACTAATTTTTACATTTTCCTCAATTTTGGATAGAAAATCGACAAAAGGAACATTGTTTCGTAATCCGGGAATAAGGAGCTATCATCCGCTATCGATATTATTTCTTTTTAAACAGGAGAAAAATGTTTAATGCATTTTGCGCGCTGTACGAACACCCGATTTTTTTTCGCAATTTTCTTAAAAACGGAAAATCCGGAAATAAAATTTCAAGCGGAGACATAATCCGGAAAAAGGGAGAAAACGTTTTAGCTCATTAAAACTCAAAAATATGATTAAAAAATTTTTTTGGGCGTCAAATTCACAAGTCTCCAACTTTGAGGCTAAAATTTTAAGGGGCCCTCTATACGAAACACACGGCATATAGAGCTGTTATTCGAATTGCGATTGGCTGTTGAGCGTTTAAAATAAAAAGAATTTTTAATTGTTATTTTCTTGATCAATTCTCATCGGATTATGTAATTTTATGCAAAACATGAAGTTCCACGCTCACTGATGTATTCCTAGTATACGTTAAAATATAAATGATATATCCATATGATCATCATTTACTTCTATCAACTAACGCTAATTCTAAATGGATAGCTGGTGAGCTATCTACATTACCGATAAATTCTATATTGCAAGCAATGATAAATAATTGACAAGGAGAAAGGTTACTGATAGCCAGCGATGAGAATACGAGCACTCCATCAAAAAACGAAATATCACGAACATAGAAATTTCGTTTTATGATGGAGTGCTCGGATTCTCATAGCTGCTAAATATCTTATTTTGCATTCAATGCTATGACAAATTTTTGAAATGTTCCATGAGATACGCAATCTTCTAGGATGAAGCAATTCAAAATCATTATAGTAAAACTGCGTGTCATGAGCAAGAATAGAAAAACTTATCGATAACTCAACGAAATGTGGTTTTTGTTAATGAACAAATTCCAAAAGTTCAACACTCTCAGATAATCAATAGAGATTGAATTATAGCATTTTAGTTTGACTTTTATACAAATGAATGTATTGAATCATTAGCAGAAATCAAACACAATTTTTGTATTTTATCGGAATATTATTATGTTCATCTGTTAAAGACATAAATAATATTTCTCATTGCAACACGCACCTTAAAACATCAGTCGTAACATAGATCAACACATTTATGAGGCAATACTTTCTCAAGATCGGCGTCCTTATTAGAGTTGAACTGATTGAAACAAATTGGGCTACCTTATCTCAGATTTAATATTTCGTTAAGAACATTGCTCTGTTTTAACAGATAATAACAGAATTTAATGAAAATCGAGGATATAAAAGCAGCACGTAGTTTTCGACATATGTAACAAAGAAAATAACCAAGAAATTCGACGATTAAAAGGCTATGTATAATATGAACTCTTATAGAAGAGTCTCGAAATCGACAACAGAAACTGTGATAAAAACACATATTAGCGAGGATTGGAGTATCAGTAGAACAATGTTCAAAAATTATCATGCAAAGTTTAAGCACATGTTATAATGCTTTTTACAAAACATTAATTTAAATCGGTTAGTAACATTGAGGTTATGTTATTGTATATTTTTTATATAATACCCTTTCTTCTATTATTTATTTTAATGCGACCTTGAATTTATGTTTGTAACCATATTTTCAGAATAATATAATTTTACTTTTTACTACTGTAATAAATAGTTACTACTGTACAACTCAGGGCAACGTCATTAACTCAATCCATGCAAATTTTGGAGTACTTGAAATTACTAGGTATTGAAAAAATAATCCCTATCAGAATAACTCTTACGCGGGCCTTCTTAGCAGAAAATTCCTTTAATGGATGGTCATAATGATGTGATCTATGTTAGAACAATCGATGTTCCTGATTATTTGAAAAATAATCTATCTTTATAAATACAGCCCTTTTCAGAGTGCAGTCCTTCTTGAGTCTACATTATCTATAGTTAGTTATCTGTAAGATGCGTGCATCGCTATAAAATGAGAAATATTTATTTCTTCAACAGATGATCACAATATTTTTACTAATGATTAAATGTATTCATTTCCATAAAAACCAAATAAATAAGCAATGCAGATTAAATTTTTACTTATTTGAGAGTGTCCAACCTTTGGAATTTTGTATTAATGAAAATTGAATTGTACAATTCTTAATGGATTTTTTTATTCTTGCTATAATCACGTGCAGCTTTTCAATAACGTTTCCGAGTCGTTTTTTACCGAATTTCTGCCGATATTCTTCATCCCTCTGAGTATATGTATGTGCAGGAGACTAATACATACTATGTGTTTACTTTTGACATAGGTTTTGACGGTTTTCTAGCCATAGTTTATAAAATTTACTTTTGACATTTTTGAAATAACGTTAATTTATCAAAATTATGATTCAATCTAAGCATCTTTGCACACAAAAAATATAGCAAACAATTTTGTAACATAAAAATTACCTGAATATGCTCTAGAAATACTCGAAGATCAGATGGAAGATGTTTGAGTAATAATTTATGATCATAATTCTCTTTCATCAAGCCCACCTATGTAAAAATGTATTGTAATACGCATACATTCATAACATTATAAATTTTATGTTCTATATATGGATTTACTTGTTCTTTATCCTTAATCTTCCTCCATGGAAGTTGACCATTTACAAATTCAACAAGCATATAAAACAGTGACCACAAATCATCGTGTCTTCCCATTTCCTTATTTTTATGCGCGTTAATTGATGCATAACGGACAGTACCTCTGAAACCTGCAGCCGTTCTTGGTGGTCTAACTTCTCCAGTTCCTGTGGTAAACTGACGAGCTAAACCAAAATCTAACATGTAAACCATTCTTGTTTGATGTGGATGTCGTCCAATGGAAAAATTTGACTGGAATATATAAATTTTCTACATGTTTAAAGATTAATGATACATGCATTATTTGGTTGTAAACTAAATCAAATTATCTATTAATTATCAAAATAAATTTTTAAAAAATAATAAAAATAAATTTTAATTCTATTCATAAAAATGTGTAATGGATAATATTTAAAAAATGTAAAAGTTGTATCATAATAATTTAACTCTTCAACTTTTAATCCTTTTTAACCAATTGGAAAATTAATGATAACCCACTGGTTTTATATCCCTGTGAAGAAAGCCCACTTGATGAATACTTTCTATTGCTTTGAGTATTTGAAGACCTAAGCGTAGAGTCGTTGATAAAGAAAAAGCTCCTCTTGGTTGGGCACGTCGTAGTTCAGCTAAATTTTTACCTTGTAGTTGCATTACTACATAATTAAACCTGTCATTTCGCCCACAACCAATGAATCGGCAAACATGTTCTTTTCCTATGGTTACCCATTTGATTTTGGATTGCATTGAATAAATATAATTATATATGATTTAAATTTTGAAATTCAAAAATAATATCATTAAAATAATTTTACATACCTTGAAGCTTTTTTAAGACTGCTACTTCCATTTTTAAAACTTGTTTTGGTTGTCTTGCTGATTCAACCTTTAACGCAACCTGTTCTTTTGTAATTAGGTCTAAACCTTCATAGATTTCTCCAAACCCTCCTCCTCCAATTTTTTTCATCTGAAAAAATTATTGAAAATTAAAATTTTTTTTTATTTCTAGAATTGGCTTTCAAAACTTTTATAAATTAATATATACAATAAATATTAAATTTTCAGAATGATAGGATATATAGAAAATTAAGGAACAAAATTAAAAATGTCCAATGATAAATTTAAAACTATGAGCAAAATAATTGACAAATAATGTAAGTAAAGAAAAGTATATTAAACTTACAACTTTCCAACGTTCTTTGACAACATGGCCAGGTTGTAAGAGGTCTTCACTTGTCATTGTAATATTATTATTTTGATCAATGATTTGGTTACCTACATACCTCAATACTATTTTTTACTTATTGATCTAAATGCCTAAAAATCAATATAAATTTTTTACAAATAATATTTTAATTTGTACAAATTATTTTACAGTCAAATGTCAAGAAAAAAAAATTAATTGTAGGTATGAATTATGCACAATAAATAGAGCAAAACTGTAAGACCAAATACTGAAGTGAACTGTAATTTCTACTATGTTAAAGCAACTAAACCTGTATTATCAAAGTTTCAATATGTACTTTAATAACAGCCAAGATTATTTTTAATAAAGAATTTTAAAGAGTTATTATAAGATAATACAATAAAGAAATGATTAAAAAAATATCAATAATACATCATTTCCTCAATACACCATTATTGCATAACATAAGTGGTAACTCTATTTAAATTATTTGCTATACTGCTATTGCTATACTATACTATTACAAGATAGTCAGAATATAAGCCAACTACAGAAAATAAATATACTAAAATAAATTTAGAAGAATAAGTATAAATTAATGAAAAAGAAAATAGAAGGAAAATTGGTAATTGGCTAATAAAGCCACAAGGGATGAAATGATGCTAATTAATAAGATATAGATGTTTTGAGTTCGGCAGCCATTATTGCATGCGAGCAGAAAGAAAGTGCAATGAATATCAGGGGGTTGTTTTTGACCCCACCTAAGCTGCGTTCCAACAATACCAGCAGCAATCAGCGCCCTCGGTGGAAACTCCTCCATACTAACTGCATACTCTTTTAACAGTTTGGTTTTCTTCTAAGTACAAAATATTGCACACCTAAATCACATTTTTCTTTTTTCCAAACTATTTAAAATACAAAACTGTACTAGATCTCATAACAATTTCAGTACAAACAATACCAGATCCAGCTGTCTGCTAAGCATTGACGCGTGCTGCCAAACATCGGCTGATGTCTACACGTCAGCTATCTGCAGGCTGCCTGCAGCCCTATTCCCTTTCCCTGCTGCGTCGAGGGTTGACAAGAATGATACATGCGCGTTAGGTCTTGACATGACTCATGAAAATTTGCTTTTATCATACTCTAATACTATTACTATTTCATTCTTGTTTCAAAATAGAAAAAGCAATAGTTGAAGAATAACGAAAATACTACAACACTTATAACCTAGTTATAGTTAGTAAATAAAAATATTATACAGTAACTTTAGATTTCGGTCTATTAAAATAAAAAAAATTAATTTTACTATAAAAAAGTATCACTAATAATTTTTTAATCACTTAACAGTTGCTCTGCCATTCGATAAATCAGTAATAATCGCTTTCATTCAAATAAATCAAAAAAATAAAATACTTTTTTATGATCTATCTTTTTTCTACCTCTCTTGACTTTTGTGTGATGTACGTGCTCTGCTTCTTTTTCTGATCAGTTACACTACACTGCATCACTTTATATAGTATATGACTTAAAATAAAATATACATTGCAACAATAAACTATAAATTCACTAATGTGTTACATTTGATTAGTTGTTTTTTTTTCGCAACTGAGTTAAAGAATAAATAACTTTCAAGCAAGAAGAATTATGTAAATTATATATCACATTGATAGATTCTTTAAAATTTTATAAAAAATTAATGTGCTTATAACATTTTTTAGCATTGAAAAAAAGAGATGACAGAAAAAAATAGAAAGATTGAAGAGGGGTCGAAGATGCCACGCGTGTACACCGCGATCTAAAATTACAATTTTATATTTTTACTACTGAAAACTATGTCGTCTGCTGCGTTCATCCAAATGATTCATGATTGTATTGACTTGAATAGTAAACACCAAATTAATCTACTGAGGACGCACTCACGCAAAGTTTGCACCAAGATATTAAGTAACTGATACTTCTGAAATTGTTCCCTACAATTTACAGAATGCGAGATACTGTTACCGTAGTTCCTTAATTATAGTTGATGAAGATCGAGAAAATATAGTTGATGAGGAGCCGCAAACCACGAACGAATCGTGCTGGCAGTTAGCTATAGTTGCTACAGTTATGAAACCGTCTCGTGTTTATGACTAAGTGAATAGGTGTTGGTGGTTTCTGCACCATGATCAGGAATAGACTAAGCATATTATCAACGATAACTTAGACATAAGTATAACATTTTCAAATTTCTTCAGATCTCTTCATATAACTGCTACCAGTACAAGCGTTTACTTGTGTAATAAAAATAAATATTCAATTAAGCTATAGTCAGTGAAACGCTGAAATGCTAATATTGAGTAAACCGTTTAAACTGATACAGCTTGTAATATTACAATCTAGTAATACTGACTTTGTATCTTCTCCACATTTGGCAGTTGACAACCAACAACCTTTGCAACCGTAGACTGCAACAGTTAGTGTAGAAGTATATAGATTCGCTGCCTTACCACTATCGTCGCTATAGCCAATTGTCTGGTCTCGAATCTCGAATATCGACTATCGATAAATTTGTTTAAATATAATAACCAGGGGGCCTATTCTGAAAAAAATATTGCGGTAAATCAGTATCACTTTAGTTTACCACAGTATTAATCACTTTAGATATGGCAAACGCTTTTAATAAACATATTATATCACCACCCTAGAAACTTTTTTGGAATGGTTATCATAGTAAAATTTAGTAATATTAATTTTAAGTGATAAAAAGGAAATGAAATAAATTGGTAAAAGGCTGAAAATATCTTTTCACTATAACTCATTTTTTAGCGATCATACGATAAAATTTCCGTTAAAAGTGCGAATACAGCAAGCCTTATAATTGTAAGATTGATTTAAAGCGTGTACATTTAAACATTGGACATTTCTTTATAAAGCAAAAATAAATTTTTGTGTTAAAGCACAATTAAAAAATGAATTAAGGATTAAATAAAATATAAGAAATAATATTTTTACAGTATAAAAATAATATGACAAATTTATACACACATACACACCTAATGATCAATATAATATAAAAATATACACACACACACACACACACACATATATATATATATATATATATATATATATATATATATATATATATATATACATACACACACAACACACACACACGCACGCATAAAAGATTAAAGTTTATTTTAAAATTGTAAATTTATTATTTATGTTTGTATAAAAGTAAAATCAAAAGTTTAGAAACAATAAATTTATAATAATTCATTTATATTTTATTAATATTTAAAAATTTTTTATTGATTTAACATATTTTAAAATATTTAAAAACTAATACATTTTTGCCTAAAATATATATACAATAAAATATATAATATAAAGTAAGTAATCAATTATAAGTACATAAAGTAATTAATAAACTTGATATTATTCTTTTTAATTAAGCGATTGAAACATAATTTTTGTTATCTTATACACTGAAAATCGATTTCGATTGATTCAACGGAATTTTTTCAATTGAAATGCACTAACCGATACTACGGTTCATTCAAAGATGATGTTAGTTTATTTTACTGACATGTTCTGTTGAATCGACACCCCGATTCTATTGAATGGACTCCCCGATTCTGTTGAATCGACACCTCGATAGTTCATTCTAAGGAAAGTTTCTATCAAATTGACTACCTGTTCGTTGAAAACAACTATACTATTTTGTTGAATTGACACCCAGATGGTTAATTTTAAGGAAAGTTTCTATCAAATTGACTACTTGTTCATTGAAAACAATTATACTAATTAAGTTATTTTAATAAATATTTAAGTTGAATTAACATGAAAGGATAAATTTCTGATAAAATAGAATTTACTTTTAAATTGTTTATGATTTACGACATTTTAGGCAAATGATGATTTATGAGTTTGATGATTGAAAGCTATTTTTGTTTTTACAAAGTTTATATTGTAGTAGATAAAGCGCAGTTTACTTTTATATCGACGCTGGCTTAGAACCTATAATTAAACAGCTATAGTATACGCACGCTTACATATATATATATATATATGGGACGATCCATGTCAACCGGATCACTGCTGTGTCCAAAATTTGATGTGACCAAAAAAATCGTGCAACGACTCATTTTAAAGTTTAGGATATCTACTTTCTGATGCTGTGTGCGCCTTTGCAAAATCCAACATGGCGGCTCCAATATGGCGGCTACAAGAGACAAACTCGTAAACAAAAAATTTTATTTTTCAAATTTTTAGTAATAAATGTTAAAAAAATTAATATTTCATATTTTTTTATGAAAATCTGGCTCATTTTCTACAAAAAAGTAACAGAGACCATTTTCGCTAAAATGAAAAATAAAAAAGTTATAATTTTTTGAAAATTTTCAAAAATAAAAAACTTTGCGATTTTTTTACTCAGAAGGAAATGACTTTGGAAAAAAAATTTAAGGAACAAAATTGCTTGAAATTCATCAAAACACAAGTGTGAATTTTTTCGAATTCCTTTGAGCGATATTTTGGATTTATCGGATTGTTTGAAAAATTAAAAAACTTCCCAAGATCTTTTACAAAAATTCATACGTAGTCTACGTCTAATTCTAAGAGCTTTTTATTTTATAAGATTGTTCAGTAAAGGCGATCCTTTTTGAGTAAATCGAAAAAGTAACTTGGACCGCTAGACACCAACCAGATAACCCACGCAAGCTCAGGAGAAGCTGTTTATAAATAAAAATGTAAGAAAACTAACCCCAAGCTATTAAACCTGCGTGCCCAGGGGCAGCAATTTTTAAATTATAATGAGAATAAACTAGTGAGGCCAATAACCAAATAACCCACACAAGCTATGAGGCAAACTGTTTGCAATTAAAAATTCAATAAATTATAACCCCAAGGCGTTAAACATGTGTACCCGGGGGACAGCTGTTTTTAAATTATACTGGGAATAATTCAGTGGTTAGATATGGTGTAAGATATTGTCCAATTCATGTACAACTGTTGTTAATTCTAATATTGTATTATATCCACATTATCTTTTGCAGCCGCGTAGCGTTTTACTATCAATTTATTGTCAGTATTTGGAATAAACGCATGGCTACTTTGAATCTTGGTTACAGCAGGTGGGTTGGGGAATTTTCTTTTTAATGTATCAGATAACCTCTTATGTTCTTCTTTTGTATAGTAAAGAAATTGTATGTTCTTGAACTTTTCCTTAGCCCATTTAAAGAGAGTTATAGAATTTAATATAGCATTTTTTGGTTCAGCTTGTAAGCTATATCGGGTTGCCTCACTCTTCAAAGAAGCACCTAGTCCATCACAGATGCATTTACCATGAGACATTGCATAACAGTGCCATTCCGCATCAATTTGAAAATCAGTCTTGTAATGGGCAAGGTGCATCATTTGAGTTCTATTCTTAAAATGTTGCTTGGCACCATCAGATGTATAATAAATTTTTGTAATTTTTGGACACAACATTTTAATTATCGGTATCATTTTCTGCTGCATTAAATAAACTGCTGTTGCATCATGGGTTGTGCAATCTGATAGTAAAATCATGTTGTGATGTTTTAATTCGGTATTGGAGCGATAGTAAAATGCAACAGTAAAAACCGAACATTGGTCATTGTTATAATGGAAAGCTTGAGCGGCATCCTGAGCCACGTATGCATAATTTTCCGCAAAATCACAGTGTAGCAATATTTCATTTTCTTTTAAATTTTCCCTTCTATCAGATATAAATTTTGTTTGTTCATTTGATATAAAACTATGCGTAATGAGAACTTTGATGCGATCACACAATACTTCTATAAATTCATCTGAGGGAAGACATTCTTGTTTGAGGGTACAGCGATCAGTAGATTGCCAAGTGCTGAATATAACTTGTTCGATTTTATTTTTTTTCAATAATTCCAAAAGGAAGTTGGAAAGCTTCTCAGTATTAGGACATTTGTTACACTGTAGCAAATGACAATCAGTTGTAGGTTTCTTACACTGAATGAATTTAAAACAATCTTTGTAGTCACATAATTGAAATTCAGAATCCCTGCTCAAAAATTTAAGATTTATAGCATCTAACATTAGTTTAACATTCTGGTGAGTCGTGCATATGCAAACGCTGTGTGTTCCTGATGATCCAGCTAAAACACCATTTAGGACGCAGCTCTGCGAACTTAGATGACCAATAAGATGTTCTGGATATTTCTCCTTGAACATGAAATGTAAAACTTTAACATCATACAGTAGTAAATGTTTTTGTTTAGAAACTATCACACCATCTATCTTGACCTTGATAACTTCTTTTTTATGCGGCATAATGCGACCGTTTGTGTCATTTTCGTAAAATTCAATAACTTTCGATACAGTTTCTTCATCTATATTTTTTCCCCTTTTGAAAGGTGGTACTGATAATACTCCACCAGAATTTTTCAAATCCTTAGAGTTTTTTGCCAGTCTATAAGAACATTTCAATTCTTCCACGATTGTACGAATGCTCCAACAATCAGGAGCTATAGTGAGAATAGACGTACGCATTGGATCATCTTCAGATAAACTTAGGAATTTTTTTTTAAGGCCATTCAAGAGTTCTTCTAACTGTTCTTCTCTAGATTTGCATGCAAGTTCTTCCAAGGAATCATCAAATTTCATGTCCTCTATACTATCATTTTTACTGCAGGATTCGCGTATTCCTTTATTCGGAGGTTCATTCAAGGAGTCATCGAATTCCATGTAATCTCGACTATTACCTTCAAAAGAAAGATCTTTATGAGAGTTATAAATACTTTTTCTGCAAGTGTGACAAATTTTTGATAGTGGATGCAAATTTGGATAGGACTCAAAAATACCTTGCGAAATATTCCGCAAGTTTTTACCCACATGACCATCTTTACCCAGTGGGTTACAACATCTCTTAGAATGGAGTTTTTGTGACGAATCAGCCATGTCCACAGTTAGGATGCGAATACGTACTTGTAAAAACAATGAAAATAAAATAAGAAAATTAAAAGAAATGAAACAAGTAGGAAATACATCAACTATTCTGAAAAGGACTGTTGGAAATTGACCACCGATGTTCCGCACAAACCTGGAAAATTATCTCAATAACTATCCTGAGAAGGACCGTTACTGAGTTTCTACCGATGCTGAGTACCACCAAATATATCAGAAAAACGACTATCTTGAAAAAGACTATCGTTTCCGAAAATAAAAGGCGTAGAAAGAACAAGCTAAAATAGACCAACTAATTTAAAAAAAAAGTTCTTATAATTAGTCGTAGACTACGTATGAATTGTTGTAAAAGATCTTGGGAAGTTTTTTAATTTTTCAAACAATCCGATAAATCCAAAATATCGCTCAAAGGAATTCGAAAAAATTCACGCTTGTGTTTTGATGAATTTCAAGCAATT